AGGGTCAGGCTGTAGCAACCTCCTGCCAGAGCGGTGTCTGTGGGATATGAATTGGCTGCCAGAAGGGAGGAGAACAAGTGGGCAAGGGGGTTGCACATCAATTTTGTGAGAGGCTTTTAAGGAGCAGTAACTCACATGACAGGGGAAGAAGGGGTGAGCTCCTTAAACAGGAGCACTAGAAAGTTAGGGAGCTTCAGTGCAATCTTTGGCCTGGGGCTGGGAGCCCCTTGGATTGCGAATAAGCATGGAGGAGAAAGCCTGCCTGGCTCTTGCCAAACGGCTGGGAAGATGCAGCCCACGAAGTCTGTTGTGTCTGAGATCTCTGTAAAGTCTCTCGCGTCCTTCCTCAAGTTTAGTTTTCCAGTGGAGACTGTCGCAGTAATGAGCATGTCTCCCATCTGCTCCTCACATGGCTTGGCACATTTAGCTAGAATATATATATTTTTATTATGGGGCTAGCCAGTGGTAACCATGACGATTAGACTTATCACGCAGCATTTTTTTCCCTCCTCGAGTCATTTTGAAATGCTGACAATTAAATAGATACAGTACACTTTAGAGATCCATCAGTCTCTTTGTTGTCTTGACAACCGGGGTATATTTAGAAATGTAACAAGTACATGCAGTTCAATTGCACTTTTGCTAAAACATAGTTCTATAGCTTGAGAATTTAATCTGTTGTTTGTAGATCCAGGTGCTTATCTGAGGTGTGCCTGACTTTCATTTTGGTCTCTCTGGGATGCTCTTGCATAGCAGTAGGGAGACTTGGATGGTGGAGAGCGGGATCTCATCAGACAGAGAACAGATCTGCCCACTGCTGTTGTCGGGAGCAGCTCTCCTGTCCTGGTGGAGAAGCTGTGCAGAGCAGTGGCTCGGGTAAAGGTCTGGGAGCCTGGAGCCCTTCAATACCCATGGCTCAACTGTTGATTTGCAGTGCAAGAGGAAAGTGAGTTTGGCAAGACTGCCCAGTGATGGGGCTCTGGTTCTTCCCAGCCTCTCTTCTGTTTCAGGAGCAGGATGACAGTTGTCCCAGCGCTGCTGTTGCTGCAGCAGCTCCATCTCAGCAAACCTTGCTGGGGTGCAATAGGCTGTATGTCTGAGCACCATCACCCTGCTGACTCCAGCAGGGACACGCGGGCAGGGCATAATAGGGGCATCTCACCCTCATTTTGCTGGAATAGCACATTGATTAGATGAGTGGAGCCATGGATTTTTAATGCTGCATCCAGCACTGACGCAGCAAAAGAGAATATGGTGGAGTGCACTCAGGGGTATACAAATGTTGCTGTCCCCCAGCAGCCCCGTGTGCACACACACACCAATGCCCTGGGTAGTACGTGTTGTCTGTTGTGTTATCAGGGTGGCTGTGCTACCGTCTGTTCCTTCCTCCCCTCCTCAGTGCGTGTGGATGGGGAGGCCAAGCCTGCAGAGAGCTATGGTCGGTGCAGGCGGGGGTGACCGGGGAGCACAGTGGGGGTGCAAGCAGCAGTGCCTCTACACACGGTGACGAGACAGCCCAGAAAGAGCAGTCGGGAGCTGAGGTTCCCAGTCTGTTGCAGTCATCCCGCAGGCAGAGCAGCCCGATTGCTGCGAAATGCAGGCTGGTGTGAGATTGCCCTCGTTACACTCTTAGCACAGGACCCAACAGTGCCACCTCCTTGCTTAAAGTGCTGACTTGCAAAGCTGTTTCTGAAGCAGAAGATAACCAAACACAAGGCGTGCAAAGTGTTTCTCTGGCATGAGTGATAAATGAATGAAATTAAAAGCAGATGAGGAAATGGCTCAAACGTTTACCAGTGCTACTTCATCTGACTGAATTGGGAATGTGTGCGAAATGCTAAGGGTTCTCATGTTGGTCATGGTTGCCCTTCTCAAAGGCTCGCAGGTCAAGGAGCTGTTGAGAATGACTTCTTTCCAGCGAGGTGTAGGTGGCCCTTTTTAATCAGCACCTGAACTCCGGGGCAGGGCCTCAGATGCTCGAGTTTGAGTTGCCTGCTAAGGAACGTAGCACTCTCTGAATATTTTAGGTTGCCTGTAAAGAGGCTGATTAAAAGGTGAGCAGAAGGTCAAATTTCTTTTTCTTTAAGGCTGAGGAAGCAAGCGGTTGCATTAGGACCCATGAGAGTTGGGTTCCTTCGTGAGTTCTGCTATAGGTTTACTGTGTTACATTGAGCAGGACTCCCTCTGTCCGAGGCTTGGTTCGTAGTTGCCGTTTGGCAGTGTACTTTGGGCAGGGCAATTAAAAAAAAGAAAAAAAAAGCAAGACTCTTCATCAACAAAGCTGTCTAGCAGTAGCAAGAACAATCTGAACATGAGCTCAGTTACAGCAGCGGAGGAGGCCTTTTACCCGAGGGAACTGACTCATTTTGGTGAACTAACTTAACCAAAAAAGAGTTTTGGCTTGGGGTAAGGGCATAGTGATGGCCAGGAGTATTCAGCGCTTTGGAGAGTGATTTATAAAAGGGATTGGTAGCACCTTTGTGCTGTGGAGGAGTGTGGTCAGCATGAGCTCATGCTGTGAGGCTGCTTGGGCACTCTCTTGAGTGAGAGGAGTCCAGCCTCTGATCAACTGTTACTGCTGCCAGTGACAGCCAAGGAAAGCCAAAAACATAGTCCAACTTTGTTTGTAAACTGTTAACATGCCCTTTTTTAAAATTTTTTTTCAAGTGTTTAAAGCTGCTGGGTTTTATTCTTAAAATACAACCACCAAAACCCAAAGTTGCTAATGAGTCTTCCAGAGTGCTTTAAACAAGTTATCCAAATCAATCTGACAGAGATAATGGTCTTCTGTTAGAAGATATTTAGCTGGAGGTTGGATGAGCTGTAATGTTTATAGGCCTGTAGATCTGTAACTAGACAAATTCAGAATAACGCCATCAATTTCCGTGGAGCTGTATCTATTTATTACAACTGAGACTTAGGCAGCGCTTTAGATGCAAATTGCAACCGCTCTGAACTTAAGTGGAGTTTTGATTTAATTCCTGGAAGCAGTAGTGTCAGCAAAGAAGTGAAGAGCTGGGACCCACATACCTCTAAGTCTATAACTCTGGGTTAGCTCTCTTTCCTCGCTGTCAAGATTAGATTGCCTTGACTGGGGCTAGTAATTAAAATGCACCTTCTCCCAAGGAACTCCCAAAGGCAGGCAGAGAGAGTGGAAGTGCAGCCTGTGCAGATTATGTGTGTGTTTTGCAGAAAGTGCCGGTAGTTGTATTCTTCTCTCCTTCGGCTGCTCGTAGTTGCGCTGTAGACCTGGAGCTTCTGCTTTCCAGCCCTGAAAAGGCAAAGCTGCTAGCACTGAGTTGTCAGCCTGTAATGTAAGGCAGAGAAGACTGGGATCTCCTTTCCCTGAACACATTCATGCCCGTTCAACGCTTAGGAGACATGGGCTACTGCTCACCGCCCCCGCTGTGTGTGGTATAAGTGATTCACCATGCATTCATTTCTGGTCACATTTGAAACAGGCTTGAGGCATAGGTTAGTGTAAGCTATTTGAAGTCTTCGGTCTGAAAGCAACATCAAACAGGGGGCAGAAAATGTATCATGCTCAGAAAAATCAGTGGGATTTGTTTCCCCCTTTAAAAAATGACAGTTTAAAAAAAAAAAAAATTCCAAACTGTAAGCATTTGCTGCCTCCTCTGTGGTCAGGACACCTGTCTGCCTCTTTAGTGTTACTTGATATGGGCTTACAGTGCTTACAAAAATGTTGACATGGATTTTTTTTCATGGCAAGTATGAAAGGAATATCCAGCCTCAGTGAAGAAGGCAGGTCCTTAGCAAGTTTCTCTGTGTATCTAGTGCTTTTGTCCGGATCTGAAGCAGCTGCTGCAGTTCTCCTTCCCATCGCTCCCCTTCCTCTGCTGTGGCCAGGGAGAGCAAAGCTGTGACCCTGCCTGTCCCTGTTTTCCAGAGCAAGAGGGTGGCTTGTTAGGTTAATGGGTTTTAGGCTGCCTTCTTAAAGAAATGTGTGTGGCAGGCTAGATGTGTCTCTCCTCTCTCCCTTTCATGTTTTTTAACTCATTGGTTCATCTTAGCCACATTTTTTAAAGGATAGTTAAGTTTTAGGAAGGCAACGGTGAGCATGAAGATAGATGGAGCTGGAGGTAACCCTGGCTTATGTCTCTCATCCTTGCGTAGTTGGGAACGTGGCAGGCCGGGAGGCCTGGAGGAGACGGGCAGCATTTGTTGTATTAATTGAACCTTTCACTAATATCGTTAGTATTTTATACTTGCTTATTTCTTCTCCAGGATGGAGATGAAAGCAAACGTAAAACATTAGAGCTAGGCTCAGATATCCCCAAGTGAGAAGTGTGTGGAAGGCTGCTGGTTAAAAGCAGCCCATGGTAGGGTAGGGGGCCTCATGTTTTCTTTTTAGCTAGACCTCTTTGAAGGCACAGAGACATCCAGAAGTAAACTAGGCCTGGAGGTGGAGGTAGAGTTTAGACTGTCTGGACGTGTCACTTATTTTTTCCACAGTGGACGTTTGTTTAAAGCATCTAATCTCAGCTTTAGTTCTTCTTGGTGTTCTCATGGCAAAACCGACACCAGGCGAGTGACTCACCCGCAGCCTGAGCAGAGAGGGAAGTGGCCTCCTCCAGCTCAGGAAGAAGAGGCCCTTTAAGCGTGAGAGGCAGAAGGGTGTCTGGTCAGGGTCTGAAAGAGACTTTGTTACCTAGAGCCGTTACGTCAGTGCCTTTCACCAGCTCTAAATTGATTTAAAGCAAGTAGCTTCTCTCTCAAATAAACCTCAGTTACTCCAATGCCTGCTCAGATTTAATCTCTCCTGGGAACGTGTGAAAAGCCCTTATATGGATCAAAATAGGGACAGACTGACACATGAGTTGTATCAGAGGGGAAAAAAGCTGTGATCTGTAGGGGAGGGTAGCTGGCATTTAGGCCCCTTTGGAGTTGTTTTCTTTGCAAGGTGACATATACGGCTTGATTTACTTTCCGCTTTTGCTGCGAGCAAAATTTGACTTGCACCTTTCTGTTTTCACCCACAGAGATCCCTCAGCAGATCCTGTCTGCACATCTCACCCTGCCCCTGGAGGGACTGCCTTGCTCCCAGGTGAGGAGAGGATTTGCTCTCAGGGCTTTGGCACCCTGCTGAATCTGGATACAGTGTGAAGACTTTGGGACCATGTTTGCTTTGTGTAATTTGGTCATTCAGCCAAGGTGTACAGTCATTTCTCCCATGTGCAGGGTAGTGGAGGCTAGGGTACACCAGGAGGCAGAAGTCTCTAGGTGACTTTAGCATTTCTGAGTCCAAACTGGGTCAGGGTCTGGAAGCAACAAAATAACTGGCCCTTGTGGGAGTATGGGTGTTGCATGGAAACTGCTGAGTGGTGCCATGCAGACCTCGGTCGATCCAGCTGGCCGTATTAGTTTGACTTCTTTTTGAACAAGACTTTCCTGCTTGTGGATCTGAATTTGCTTTCCATCCGTGGCATGGCTCTCTGCAGACTGAGTACTCTCCCTGCTGATGATGGAGAGCTGACTGTATTATTAGCTTAAAGCTAACCGTGCTTCAGTGTGCAAAAGCAGGAAAGTATATGAGCATATTTAGAACGACCTGAATAGAAGTATATGTGAGGAGCAAGTAATTCATTCTTCAAAATTGCCAGTTCCACCAAATTCACTGGCGACACTTAGCCATGACTTAAAGATTGGGCTGAAAAAACACCCCGAACCTCTGTAGGGGTCCTTTGCTGATTTCTGTGTAGGAGTAGATTGTGCTTCCTGTCCATCCCATGATGCGGTCATTAAATTCCAGTGAGGGTGAGCCTTCAGGTAAGGTTACTAAAAAGGGAGCAGTAGCAGGGTAGTAGATCTGTCCTCAAGCCTTAATCAATTGTGACATCCCAGGAGGCAAAAGAGATGTTGGAGATGCTACAGTTATGGAAATTGGGGGAAGAAAGCAGGGAGCAGCCCCCTTGAGAACCAGATAATGAAAAAGCAGGGATAGCTGGTAGCTTTGGCCTCATGGTCCCTTTTCATTCTGAGTGAGCGTGCCTTGCTAGTGCTTGACAGGGATGGGAAGAAAAGGGAGAGTGTGGTCTATAGATGTCCAGTGTCCAGGATATTCCCCACAAGAGGAGGAACGTTTTAAGAAGGTGCAGTGGCTTTGAGGATTCTCTGCTGCAGTGATGTTTCGGCAAGTCCAGTGGCAGAAGCCATATGTGGTATGTGCACAGGGGGCTATATTGTCAGCCAGCATGGGTTCAGAGTGATCTATTTCCAAGTTGTAGAGTGTGTGCTGAGTTTGTTCTTCTGTGTGTACAGCATTGGCCTTCATGCTCTGGTTTGTTGTGAGCTTGTTTTCACATCGATCAGAGGCTGTTGCAGGACACAGGCCACTGGATCCAGCTAGCTTGATGGTTTGGGCAGGTGCAGCTTCTCATTTGCCTTGACATTGCATGACTCAAGAACTGCGAGCTGCCTGTATCTTTGCTCCCCAGGAATGGCTCTGCTGGGTGAGGATGTGTAGTAGAGTGTCTTGAAACTTTTCTGGAGGGCCACACATTGGAATGCCAATTTCTGCTAACTCTGGAGGCAGCAGGATCTTCCCTTGGAGCAATCTGGTGGAAACCTGCCCAATAGCACAGTACAATTCCAGTGCAGAAATTGAGAGCGCTGCTTCTTTGTTCTGTGATGTTGCTGAATATGAGTGCGGTGTCATTCTGCCCTTTAAATAGGGCAGTGCACATCCCTCCTTTCTCCCTTTACCTCACCTCTCTCTTTTTTTTTTTTTTTTATCTTGTAAATTATGGCTAGCTAGAGATGAGAATTCAGCATCTTGTTTACTGCAAACAGTTGGGAACCTTAATAAATGGTGAAAAAGAAAGACTGACAAGGGATTAATAAACAGAGGACAGCAGATTAATAGCAAGACAATAGCATTTGGTTCAAGGCCTGGTCTTCCCGTTTGCCATTAATTGAAGACTGATGGCAGTAGTTCTGTTAGTTTCACTCTTTCTGTGCCAGGTTTTCCTGGCTAAGTCTAATAAATGCTGTAAAAATATAATCTAGGGAGAAGCCCACCCTCACAGACTACTGGCCAAATGAGAAGGTATTCATGTTGCTTTCTACTGAAAGCTTAAGCAACAGCATCAATATATTTGTGAATTGTGAGGTCAGATGTTCAGGTGCTTACAGCTCCATAAGACAAAAACATATCATAAAATGCATCTTGCCAAGCAAGCTGTCTCCGACAAATTGTTTGTTACTCCATGCCCTATGCAAGAGATTGATTTCTGTTCTCTTGACTGGGTTTTCAGCTTTGTTCCTCTGGAAAATTGGGCTCTTGACCTATTGCATCTGGCCTCTAATTAGTCTTTGCGTGAGATTAGATCATTGTAAGAAAACCGTAACTTTACTAAGCCTATTCCCTGTTAAATTTGTTCCAGAACTGTAGAACTACATCACAGAAAGTCTTTATTCTGGTGGAAAGATGCATGCTGTTCTGGATGTCCTATATAGAAGGTCAATCTCAAACTTGTACCTTAAAGAAGGTTGAAATTGCAAAGTCAAGCACTGCAGTAGTCCTTTGGCATCTGCCCTCATGTATCTTAATCATCTTTGAGAACATGACCCCAAGCTCTTCTCTCCGTGTGTAGGATTATATCAATATGCAGGTATGTGTATGGCCATTTTGGGGAGGAAGCAGCTGTGTCCCCATAATGGTGTGTGATGAAAACAGGGCTAAAATCAGACCTTTATGCTGCAGTGGCTGAATTTATTTTCCAAGGAAGAAAGGCTGTGCACTGTTTCAGTATCCCTGTAATAAAGCTATTCTCATCTTCTCTGTTCTTGCGTTTGGTGCCCTTGGCTTTTCAGAAGTTAATTGATTTGTCCATATTATGATTCTCTCTTTAATTTTATTTGTGTAAAAAAGAACATGCACTAATCTTTCTCCAGAGAAATGTTTCACACTGCTCCTCTTTGAACGTTGGCCCCAGGTCTACCGCATTTCTTAATGAGTCTCTAACTAAACAGCTACGGTTCCCACATGCTCCAGCCTTGACGTGCATACTCATACACCCACGTGTTTGCTCCCAGTTGAACCTAGCAGTCTTCCCCCTGCACACACACATATACAGAGGCGCGCGTACACACGCACGCAAAAAATGCTTTGGGATCTGCAGCATCAACACAAACCATCTGTCTTCCTAGGAGGCTTAGCCCTAGCGCGTGGGAGAGGGCTCTATACCTATGGAAACGTGTAGGATACCTGATGGATTTGGCATCAAACGAGCTGTCCTGTGAATTAGAAAGGCTGTAACCTCTTTAATGCGGTGCCCTCACTCCCGGCTCATTTCACATGCTTCTCCGGGAGCCTGAATTCCTGCAAGCTGCGTTACCCACTGCGCTGCTCCCTCCTTCAGGACCTGAGCTAGCCTGAATATGCAGACAAACACCAACACTGAATTCCTGCCTGGAATTCCACGGGCTGCCAGATCTCTGATAGCTTGTTTTTAATGAAGATTCCTCCTGCAATTCCTAGAATATCTTGCAGTGCAGAAAATGAGCTGCGTGTGTATTTTACAGCGGGCTGAATTCTCCCTGCTCTTTGCAGTTCCCTCGGTGAACGTAGAGGAAAAGGAGGGGGAAGCAGCTGACTGCTTTGTTGTTGTTGTTTCTCTATTTGACTTCTGTGAAATATGCAGCGATCAATCGCTCACAACTAACAAAATGTTTTTGTTTCTCTTTGCAAAAGCATATGGGAGCGGCAGGAAAAGCATATGGGCGTTTTTAGGAAAACATATTGGTGAACGGACAAATTATAGTGGTGCCAATATGTTTCGGATGTCTGGCTAGACCACTACTACTACCACACTTGCTGGCATGCAAACCCATCCACAAGATTTCCAGCATATGAGTGGTATGTAGCTACTCTTAGGGAAACACAGACGGTGTTGGATCAGACCCATGTTAAAATAGCATCGTGATCCATCTTCAGCATGCGTGACTGCCTCGCCAAGTCCCAGACCAGGTTCAGTGCTCGTGTTTATGGCGGTATGTCCATTATCTCAGTAGACTGAGCCCAGAGCTCCGCTTGCAGCTGGCTGCAAGTAATGGTAATGGTAACCATTTTTCTGTCTAAAAACCTTGACGGCGAGTCCTAATAACAGCTGGGCATCTTGCAAACAGGCTGGGCAGCCTCTGGTTTTCCCATGCTGCTCTGTCAGCCCTCTCTTTGTTCACTGGAGCTTTATTTGTAATTTCTCTTACCGTGTGTGCTGCTTTTGAGGAAATGCAATGCAATGTAAAACATTTGCATTGCTTCTGGGCCCAGCCTTTTTTTGCCTCAATACTGATGAGTCAGAGAAAGGGACCTAAGAGCTGAGAGAGATCGGGGGGGGAAATGTATGAAGTGCATTAAGCGATCTTGACTGGTGGACTGGTTCTGGTGGCTTGCAGCATCCTGACAGCTGGAGTTGCACTCCTGCAGACTCCCCCTTGCAAGCAGAAGTCCTCGATGAGTTAGGTCCGTGCGGCTGCTTTTCCTTGGCCCTGGCAGCGAGGGAGTGCTGCATCCCTCGGGAAGGGAGCCCCCGTGGCCAGCACTGGCATGTAGACTTCCAGCAGCGGCACTGCAGCCCCTGTTTGAACTTCAGCAGATGTTAGAGGGCCCGGCTGATATGGAGATGCACAGGCACCCTGGTGAGAGACAGCTCCTGCCCTTACAAACTTGCAGGCTAAATAGACAAAACATAGCTGCACAGAAAGATGTAACGCACCTGGATTGCCAGGGGAGATGGGCAGTAATCGAACTTGGGGTGCAGCTTCATGAACAGCTTATAGCAGTCTAGGTTGGTACTGCTGCTGGAAGAGGAGGTCTAGTGTCCATATGGCCCCAACCCTCATTTCTACCCATGCGGCCACTTTTATCCTTTACAGGCACAAGTGATGGGACAAAGGAAGGGGAAAACCATAGTTGGGGACTGAGAGGATAAGCAAGATGCACAGCTGTGAAGTCATGTGGACATCACTTTGTTTATCTTAGTTATGACCGTGCTCTCTCAGATATTCTGAGTGGTAATTCAGCACCTTTTAGTGTTCTTCCCC